CAATTTTTAAAAAAAGTTCTTGTTTATTTAAACAGCTCAACTCATTGGCAGGGATCTGGCTACTTGGAAAACACAGTGAGGAATGTCCTTGCATTCTATACCATCACAGCCAAATTTAGGGTCTGCTGAAAAAAGTTAAATGCCAAAAGGAAAAGATTAGAAATTATTCCAAAGACAATCTGAGGATCTACTGGTTTCCTAATTTAATTTTGATCTCTGAAAAGGCCAGCACATGTATTATTTCTATTTCATAGTGTGGAATATATAGAGATGACAGTATTCACCATACAGTTACTACCTAGATTTTCAATACCTGGAAAGTCTTCATATTTCAGTCACTCTAATTCAGTTTTGGGTGGGAGGGGCTATGGCTCTAATGACTCCTCAAGGTGTACAACTTGATGGTTTGATATATATATATATTGTGAAATAGCCACTACAATCAACCTAATTAATACATCCATCACCTCACATGGTTAGCTTTTTTTTGCTCATCTTTTTTAGCTTTTTGGATTTTTTGTGGGAAGAATGCTTAGGATCTACCTCTTAGCAAATTTCAAGTACACAATACAATATTGTTATCTATAGTCACCATGCTATATGTTAAATCTCCAAAACTTATTTCTCTATATTTTTATTTTTAGTTTTGGCCACAAAACAAGTCTTAATACATTAAAAAAGGCTAAGACCATAGAAAGTAATAGAAAATATGTTCTCCGACCACCACAACAGAAGAAAATTTATAAAATTCATGAATATGTGGAAATTAAACAACTCTCCTAAATAAACAAAAAAATGGGTAAAAAGAAAAATCAAAGGGAAACTAGAGAGTAATTTGAGATAAAAATCAAAGCACAACATATCAAAATGTATAGGATGCAGGGTTCATACAGTGCTTATAGGAAAATTTATACTTGTAAACACTATATTAGAAATAAGAAAAATCTCTAATCAGTAAAGTAAACTTCTACCTTAACAAAATAGAAAAAGAACAGCAAACTAAACCAAAAGCAAATATAAGTAGGAAATAACAAAATTACAACAGAAATATATGAAATAAGGAATTAAAAAACAATAGAAAAAAATCAACAAAACCAAAAGTTGATTGTTTAAAAAGATTGAGAAAATTTGCAAACCTTTATCTATACTGACCAAGAAAAAAAGAGAGAAGACCGAAATTACCAAAATCAGAAATAAAGTAGGGATATTATTACATTGTCATTATGTTTTTTTGTGATGGTAAGATTTAGGTTCTTTCTCTTGCTCGTTTGCATTTTTGTTATACCACTGGGTTTTGTTCTTCCTTGTGTATTTGTGGTAGTGATTATCATTTTTCAGATGCCAGATGCTTCCTTGAAAATTCTTCGAGGGCTCTCATGTGGTGGTGAAAGCTCATAGTTTTTGTTTGTCTGGAAAATAAATTTGTTTCCTGGGTACACTATTCCTGGCTAGCAGTTTTTTTCTTTTAGCATTTTGAATATATCATCCCACTTTCTTCTGGTCTGTAGAGTTTCTATTGAGAAGTCTGCTGTTAGTTTGATAGAGGCTTCCTTATGGGTGACTTGATGCTTTTCTCTTGCTTCTTTCAAGATTCTCTTTGTCTCTGAGCTTTGCCAGTTTGACTATAATGTGTCTTGGAGAGGATCTTTTTGGGTTGAATCTGTTTGGGTATCTTTGAGCCTCCTGGTATCTGAAGGTGTCTTTCCCTGTACCTGGTAAATTTTCCTTTATTATTTCATTTAATAGGTTTTCCATGCCTTTTCCTTTCTCCTTCCCTTCTGGAATACCCATGATTCAAATGTTTGTGCACGTAAGGTTGTCTGCTAGCTCTCTTAGATTTTCTTCATTTAAAAAAATTTTTTTTTCCTTTTTTGGTCCAACTGGGTTATTCTGAAAAGACCATCTTCAAGATCAGAAATTCTTTCATCTGCTTGTCCTAGCCTGCTGCTTAAACTATCAGTTGTGTTTTTTATTTTGTTGAGTGAATCATTCAGTTCCATGAGTTCTGTTACATTCTTTTTTAAGGTATTAATCTCTTTGTAAATTTCCTTCTTCATATCATGGATTCCCTGCCCCCCCCCCCATTTCATTATGTTGTGAATCTTCTTGTATCTCAGTGAGTTACCTTAAGATTGTTGCTCGGAATTCCTTTTCAGCCATTTTAAAAGGGTTCCTGCTGTATAGGGTCTGGTACTTGAGAATCACCGTATTCTTTTGGTGGTGTCATATTTTCTTGGGTTTTCATATTTCTAGTATCTCTGTGTTGATGTCTGATCATCTGGTAGAGCAGTTGCTCCTTTTATCACTCTGGAATGGCCTTCGAGGAGAGATACATCCTCTTTTCCAATCTCTGCTGGGGACTCTCCTTCTATCAGTGCAGTTGAGTGTCTGGCAGGCTGCCTGCACAGTGGTTGTGGCTACTGCTGTGGTATTAAGCCACTTTTGTGGTAGTCATAGCTGTGATGGAGACTTTAGTGGGCCACTCATGTGAAAGTGGTGTTTTCCACATGCTTTCTTGCCTGCTCCAGGCAGAGGGGGCAGCTGCTCTTGGTTCCTGCCTAGGACCCCAGGCATTGCTGTCTTGCCTGCTTCCAGGTGGAGGGGGCTGGCTGCCTTTGGCCCCTGCCTAGGACCCTGGGTGTCACTGTCTTGCTTGCTTTCAGGCAGAGGGGGCTGGTTGCCCTAGACTCCTACCTAGGACATGGGGCATCTCTGTTCTGCCTACTTCTGGGTGGAGAGGGCTGGCTGCCCTTGGCTCCTGCTTAGGAACCTGGGCATTGCTCCTTATTCCTCCTCTGAGACTTTGAACACCTTGACCAACATCTTCCCATTTCCCCCTCCCTCTAGCCCTTGGTAACCACCATTCTACTCTCTGGTTCCACAAGTCTGACTTTTAGATTTCACATATAAGTGAGATCATAAAGCACTTGTCTTTCTGTGTTCAGTTTATTTCACTTAGCATAATGTCCTCCAGGCCCATCCCTGTTGCCACAAATGGCAGGTTTCCTTCTTAATTTATGGCGGGAATAATATTCCACTGTATGTATATACCACAATTTCTTTATCCATTCATCTACTGATGGGCATTTGTTTCCATATTTTGGCTATTATGAATAATGCTGCAGTGAACATGAAAATGCAGCTATCTCTTTGAAATCCTGATTTCAACTTCTTTGTATGAAAACCCAGAAGTGGAGTTTCTGGATCATAAGGTAGCTCTATTTTTAATTTTTTGAGAAACCTCCAAGTATGGAGGTTTCCATAACAGCTATACCAATTTTCATTCCCACCAACAGTGTACCAGTTTCCTTTTCTCCATATCTTCATCAACACTTGTTACCCACTGTATTAGTAACAGCCATCCAAACAGGTGTGAGGTGATATCTCATTGTGTTTTTGATTTTCATTTCCTTGATGATAAGTGACATTGAGCACTTTTTCATGTAAATGTTGGCCATTTGTATGTCTTCTTTGGAAAAATGTCTATTCATGTCCTTTGCTCATATTTTACTTGCTTTATTTTTTTTTTGCTATTGAGTTGTGTGAATTCCTCATATATCATGGATATTAACCCCTTATTAGATATATGATTTGCAAATATTTTCACCCATTCCATTGGTTGTCTTTTCATTTTGCTTTTTCCTTTTGCTGTGCAGAAGTTTTTAGTTTGATGTAATCCCACTTGTTTATTTTTGTTTTTGTTACCTGTGCTTTTGGTATCATATCAAAAAACCATTGCCAAGACCAAGGTCAAGGAGATTTTTCCCTATTTTCTTCTAGGAATTTTACAGTTTCAGGTCTTACATTTAAGTCTTTAATCCACTTTGAGTTGATTTTTGTGTATGGTATAAGACAAGGAACCAATTTCATTCTTTTGCGTATATCCAGTTTTCCCAGCACCATTTATTAAAGAGGCTGTATTTCCACACTGCACATTCTTGGCATCTTTGTTGAAGATCAGTAGACCCTATATGCCTGGGTTGATTTCTGGGCTCTCTATTCCGTTCCATTGTGTTTTAGTCCATTTTGTGTTGCTATAACAGAACTACCTGAGACTGGATAATTTATAAAGAAAAGAGGTTTATTTGGCTTACGATTCTGGGACAGCTGCATCTGGCATAGGCCTCAGGCTGCTTCTACTCATGGTGGAAAAACAGCACACAGCTGGCAGGTACAAGCAGATCACATGGCAAGAGGAAGCAAGAGAGAGAGAGAGAGAGGAGGTGCCAGGGTCCTTTAAAAAATCAGGTCTCACGGGAACTAATAGAACAAGAACTCACTCACTACCCCTCCTCTCACAGGGAGAGCATTAATCCATTCATAAGGGATCTGCCCCCATGACTCAATCAGTTTCCAACACTGCCACATTGGAGATCAAATTTCCACATGAGTTTTGGAGGGGACAACACATCCAAACTCCATCACATTGGTCTATGTGTCTGTTTCAAAGAAGAGCTGACATTGTAAAAGTTCTACTGATACTATTAACCACTGTAATAACATTTGAACAGACTTCCAGTAAAGCCTGGGGAACAAACCTCATCACTTGCTAAGATAACTTAAGGTATAGAATAAACAAAAAGAGGACTCTCAAAATTCCTTAGAATAAATAGTTTAGGTGCAAAAAAACAGCTGTTGGGTACTAGTGAGACATTCACAAATGGGGTTAGTTCCGTAATAGTTCTGCTGTTTTTTACCAATGGATTGTACAGCATAATTCAAGCTCAGGGAGCATCAATTTACTTTATGTTTGTCAAAGGGCTATATACCACATTGTACATAAAAATCTGCCAACCCCAAAACTGATTATTCTCATGCAATGAATTCATATTTTACGTCTTTGAATTGTTTTCTGTGATATAAAGAGCTTAAGTAGTACTGTCAAATAATAGATCAAAATTTCTGAACAGAATCTTGGTTTGGATCATCAAACTCATGTGGTGTCTAAGAGCTGTATTCCAGGGTCCCCCAAATGTCAGAATCAAAACATGTAAAAAATATTTATTAAATATTAAAAGTAAGTATTTTATTTTAAAATAACAAATACCCTATTGGGAATGGGCTCTGAAAATAATGGACACTTAAGCAGTTAGTGAAAAATAGCAAATAGCTGAAACGAACCTTACAAAACTGACCTCTATGAAACATTTAACACACTAGACTTTTGTTTCATCTTCTAAACTACACACCACTTAAGGGTGAACATGATGTCTTCTTCCTCCATACTGTTTAGCATAGTCTCTGGCACCTAAAAATAATAAAAATAGCTAGTTAGCATTTATCAGGTGTGTCTAGTTCTTTAATATACATTATCCTTACTCTTCTCTAGGCAACCTATGTGGTAGTATAATTGGCACCAATTTACAGATGAAGAAATTGAGGCTCATGGAGATTATGTGATTTAACAGAGATTTTATAGCATCTAAGTGACTGAGTCAAGATCTGAACATAGGTCTGATTCATACTTTCTATCATACCCACCCACTCTATTCACTTACTGAGTAGTATTAAATACATATTTGCTGAATTGATCAATGTTTTTGTGACTCCTTCATAATAAGGATTTTATTCTGTTCACAGAAATCCTTTCATTCAACTCACACAACTGTTATTACAAATAAGGAGTGAAAGAAAAAAAGAAAATCTTTATAAGCAGCTTATGGTCTCATTTGCATGGCATCTCCAAACAAATTTAAGACAGTTATCTTAATCTATTTTAGGACTATTTTAAGTTTTTATGAGGAAAGGATATATTATACATACAGAGATAAATTATTAATATTAGAAGAGACTTCCAAAATATTTTTTCAATCTATATTTTCAAATGAAAGTTTGTCTGTCTCCTCCTGTCCCTTTCTTTCTTCTACCCCTCCTCTTCCTCTTTTTTTGATCTGATTATCCCTCGTTAAATAAAGAAAACATGAAATTCTATGATTATTGTAGTCAAACCCATATGTCAGTGATTTTTAAGCTTAACACCACTTTTTCCTTTTTATTGTATTGCATAATTCAAATCCAGTTTTGGATCTAAACATAATAGTTTTAGTTTTTTAATTACAAAATTTTGGACTTGTATCCTAATAGGTTTTTGTGGGCCTTGTACTCTGGAAGATGCAATTATGATGCTTTTACTATCCTGCTTTTGTTAAAAATAACTTGAATTAGCAAAAAGTGTTGACACCAAAATATTGGATTATCAAAACACCACAATGTAGACAGATACTGGGACATAAAATTTGAAATTAAGGGCTGGCCCGGTGGCACACTGCTACAGTGCGCCGCTTGGGAGCGCGGCGGCACTCCCACCGAGGG